TATACTTGAATATTTATATTGTTATTTCAAGGAATAGAGTTTTCTTGAATTTGATAGACTTTAAAAAATAATTTTTATGGCAAATAAGATGAGATTAATTTTTATGAATATTATGGATACGATTGTATGAGTTGGAAGTTAATAGGGAAATGGTTCTGAAAAGTTGAGTTTTGAAAAGTGAATAGAAAATTTTTTTGGAAAATTTACGGAAAGGAATTTTATGATTATCAGAATGTTGAATGGTGTAGTTCAGTTGTTTCAAGATAAATACATGATGATATAAGATGTACAAGGAGTATTATGCCAATTTATGGCATATTTTCTAGGAAGTTTTATGTTATTTCTGCAAGCACTTGAAGCTGTGTTCTCCACTTATTTGTTTGATGAATGATACTCGGATATTTGCTAAACAATTGATGCCTGCATTTCACCGTCTTAACGTTGAAAAATTCCGTACATTTTGCAGCATTTAGCCGTTATATAAATTTTTGAAGTTGATAAGCACGATGTGAGAGTCTCATTTTCTTTGAAAGTTTGGACTTGCAGCGAAATGTCTGCTTTTCAAGCTTTTTCTTAAAGAAAAAATTTCACTACTTTAAACAAAATGTAAACTTTTGAAGTGCGATTGTTCAATTAAGACAGGTGCTTGATATGGTAGTTGGCTAATTTAATCAACATAATACTGTTACAAACATCTGTGTGTTTGTGTTTGATATGGCTTAAGGCAATACTGTGTTCATAGACTCAAATGATGTTAACATTAGAGGATAATGTATGATTATTTTAGGCACGTTCAGTCCATAAATATACTTTTTCTTGTTAATTAGTGATTTAACACAGTGATGGTAGTTCATTGATTACATTTACATATAATTATACAGAAGTTGGTTATAATTAACAGTGATTTTACTTCTTTACTTCTATTGTGGTGGACTTACATCATTTGTGGTATTTTTCTTGCGACAAATGTATGATTAATAGAAGTTTATCAACTGTACAGTAGTGAAATGGTAATTGTGAAAGTATAAAATATGTGATATTCACATGTGTATATGTAATTATTGTGGACTGAAGGAGAGTATTTGTTCAGCATAGTGAATAAGTGAATGAGGCAGTTAATGATAGCTGTTTGATATAATAACACTAATGGATATTTAATAAATATACTAGTATTGTTCTCAGATGTAGCTTGTCTTGGATCTAGGTCACCTGAGAGTTTTGGAAAGAATTATGTATATATGTTGATATATTGCATTGGAGATGGGAGATTTACATGCTAAATTTAATTTATTTTTCTCTGCAAATTATGATTTGGATTCTCAATTCTGGTCTTTATAATGCTATTTATGCTTTTAACCGGTAGTCCTGGCAAGGTTTATGTAATGACAACTTGTCCATCACAGAATTTTGGTCTGTCCATTGTAAGATTTTTGAAATTTTAATATAAAAATACTATACTGTATTATTACCAGGCCAGATGGAGTGCTATAATATATATATAGTTATTATCAGTCATTCTGGTCAATTATTGATTAGTATTGGTCATGTTGATAAAAGTTTTTGCCCCAGGTGTTCAGCTAATTACCTGATAAAGAAAATTTGGAATAAAAACTTTTCTATACAAATGTAATTATTTATGCATGTAATTATAAGTGCATGTAAGTCAGTTGTTTGAATGAAATATCAAAAGAATTTCTTTCACATACCTATTTTGGTTAAAGTGTATATCAAAAGGTTACCCCTGCCCACAATTACTTTCACTGTTAGCAGATAACTATCCAGTACAGTAGTCACCCCTGCAGCTGCTCAGCTTGCACAAATGTCCCACATGGACTCGCACTTTATAGATGTCAAGGTCACGCAAGTCCTTTTTGTATACAATGGCCTTCAAATTTAGTACATAACTACATATACTCAGGTATGCATCACAATTTGAAGGATGTCTTAAATTTTCACACGTTTAGCCTTATGAGAATGACACGAGTGACATTTTAATTTTCTTTCTTTTTAATTGTTTTGGTTATGATTATAACCACACTTAGAATACAATTTAATTTGGTTATCTATTACCTATTAGCCAAGTTTGTAATGTTTTTTCATTACATCATTAAAATGAATAATGTATAGTATGCCAGGATAAATTAAATGGGCAAAATATTTTTCTTGGTAAGTCTGTTATGTAAGGCAACATTTGTTGTTAGTCATTGAATGTTACAAGCAGCCTGTTACATGTTTTGTTTTGCAAACCATTGTAATATTCATCATACAGATGAATACACAAAGCTTATATATGAAATAATTATGATTATTAATACCAAGTATCACATTATACTGTATGATATTTTGGTTGGATACATGGCATTTTTTACATAATTGGATGGCATTTTTACATGATTGGATACATGGCATTTTTATGATTGGATACATGGCATATTGACATGATTGGATACAGTACATGGCATTTTGACATGATTGGATACATGACATTTTTTCTACATGATTTGATACATGTACATAGCATTGTTTACATGATTGGATACATGACATTTTTTTTTACATGATTGGATTCATGGTATTTTTTACATGATTGGATACATGGCATTTTTTACATGATTGGATATATGGCATTTTTATGATTGGAAACATGGCATTTTACATGATTTGATAAATGAACATGGCATTTTACATGATTTGATAAATGTACATAGCATTTTTACATGATTGGATACAAATGGCATTGTACATGATTGGATACATGGTATTTTAACATGATTGGATATGTTGCATTTTTCCTGGAAATTATAACAATTATGACTGTGTAATCAGTCTTGATATATGCATTAAAGTAATTGCTTTCAATTTCAGTAATAATTCCGAAAGTTTGTCATACATTGGTAAAAAACACTGTCAAACTGACTGTATATAAATATAAAAAAATGCACATTACTGAAGTTTTGTGTTCTGTGTAACAAAAAATTATTTGGAACAGTTTTAAGAACAATTGGTATGCTAGACATTCTGAAAACAGATAATCTATAGAGTTCTAAAGAAAGGAATATCGTATTGGGAATTTTAAAGACTCTTCTTGCATGGTCAATAAGTCGATATTGGCGAATAGGGAGTGCATACGAAAAATTGACGTTGTTTGCTTGTTGTCTGCAAGACACACACACATTGGTGGACATTATTGTGGATTTATGTGTGGTTATTATATATATATATTTATATAGTTACATTTTGAAGTGACACGTGTCGAATGCTTTTGGATTAACATAAACTTTGAGAAGTGTGACCACAAAAAAATAAAATAAAATGTTGAACTTATTTTTATGTAAGTATGAACAATTTTTGTTTATATATCAGTAATAATTAGTTAATGCTACATGGGTTTTGTTGATAAAATATTGAGAGGTTATTTATTAAATGTTTGGGAGTTGTGTTCATGAGTTGAATCGGGTATATAAGGGGGTTAGAATAAGAACTTTTGTTTCTTTACTGAATACAGTTAAGGTCTTGGAATGTTTGTTTGTATAAGATGAGGGGGAAAACATGATCCCCTATGTGTTTATGCAACTTTATTATCACATTTGATGTGTCTGTCACAACCACTTGTATGTATCAATGTATAAGTCAAAAGATTGTATGTGACTTATTATTTAGATTTGGGAAACAGTGAGTGATGGGGGGTAAAGAATGTGGAACTTGTATCACAGATTTAGTTTTCTAGCTATAATGTCCTCATATTTGTAATATCTAATTGGCTACAGTTCACTGAGTTGTGGTATTCAAACAGATTTAGCAGTAATGTATACATTGATCATGTTTATATATTTTTAGAAAAATTTCAGTTATTTATTATAAGGCTAGTTAAGTGATGTTTATGTCTCCAGTTTAGTGTTGTAAATTGACAGTAAATTATGTATAAACCAATATATCCTGACCTTTAAAGAAAAGACAATATATCACAGAAATTTCTAGACAATGTCTGTCATAATAAAGGTTTTTGTCCACATACTTCAATGACTACTTTCACATGGACTCCTACTTGATTATGTCAATTAAATGTTTCATCATAATCAGAATTACATGTACACAAAATTTAATATCTTTAATAAATATTAATATCATGTACTTTTCTATATGGCTTTAATTTACATCTTGCTCATTTTTTTGCTTCATTTTATATAATTTTTAAAAAAAATAAAAATCCCTTAAACTCATAATGGACAATTTAGAACAAAAAGAAATTGTTTTGTTCAGCTGAAGTAAAGGGTTATAGGCACATTTTGCTTCATGAAACAAATATTTTTTACTTTGTATAATTGAAAGAGCAAAAATGTTTTTCTAACTTTTAAATAATGGTTTTGGAGCATGTTAGATGCTTGTTACCTGAAGAAAGATTCTTTTGCGCTTTATATTTATGCAATTAAAGAAGCAAAATTTAAACAAAGTAGTATTTTGACTTTCATATAAAATGATAAAATACTATAACTATACTTAAATGGCCAAAAATCAAAATAAAAAATCAACAGAAAAAAACAATGTTTCAGGTAATTTGCCAATGAGTAACTTTTCAGAAACTATTAAGGTACACCAAAAATAAAAAAGCTTTTGAAAAATAAAACTAAAAGCATTTCTTGGAAATAATGGGCCTTTAATTATATCATGAAATTTCTCAGTGAGACTTCAGTTTTGATTTATAATTGTGTGATGTATGTATGTTTGCTAGTAAACATTAGATAGCTAGACCTTTGAAATTGTGTTCAACATTATTTTATAAACCCTTCAATGGAATGCCTTTGGCAACTGAATCTTTACCCATGAGACCGGTGCAAACCAAGATCAGTTGGTACAACTGGCATTCTGATTATGGTCTGGGCTGTTTGCTTTTCAGTCAGTATTTATGTTGAATTTCTCCCAAAAATTAATGAATAATGTAACATTCAAGATATTAAGCATGATAATGGTTAACCCCTTTATGTGATTCTTTCTATTTTCAGCAACAATGTTTCTTAACACGTTGACGCCCAAGTTTTATGTGGCACTCACTGGTACATCTTCCCTGATATCAGGTCTGATTCTGGTAAGTTAACCTTTTCATTACTGAAATTGTTGATGCCAAATAGGGATGATTGTCAATCATCTCAGCGAGAAAAGGTGTGAAAAACATCTGAAATTAGATAATTCAAAATCACCGTTTTATGGTGAAACATATCAAATTATTCTATATGGATAATGTAAAAGCATTGACACATTGAAAACTTCAATAATACGAATATTGAAGTATACAATAGGTTTGTAATAAGAATATACAGGGAAATATAGACTTTCTTTTGACTCTTACACATGAGAACCATGGGCTATTTCAAGTTTGACACTGTTCTACAATACATTGAAACAAACAATGTCATGTGAAATTATACAGATGTTAAGATGCTACTTGCACCACTCAACATTTTATTGTAAATTAAATTACCACTGAGTTTGATACTTAAAATGGATAAACTTGTTTAGTCATCTATTCTAAGTGTCTGGACTGCAAAGCCTAGAAGTTAACCATTGCAGTTAAACATAAGAGATTAGTCAGACTGCATGCTGATTTTAAAAGATCTTTTATTGTGGATCAAAATCATATCACATTTTTTAGCTCACCTGTGCTTAAAGGTGGCAGTATGTCTGTGGTCCATTGATCACAATTTCTTTAAACAACATCTCCTAAACTTCTTGATGGATTTTGACAATAGGAACGATCCTCCGGTTGTCCTCTTCAAAAGTTATATGAATGGTTCCAGTTTGATGCATAAGTAGGTCACAGGAGCTCAAATAGACTTTAATTAAAAGCGAAAATTAATTTTTTTTCTCAGGAACTTCAATGCTTAGAGCTTAGATACCTGGCATGTAGCATCACCTTGTGGTCCTGCACAAAAGTTATAAAAATCAAGACCCTAGGCAAAAATTTACCCTGCCTGGGATGTATCTTAGTTTAAGAAACTACATTTGCCGTAAAATTCCTATTAAACGCCCCAAGGGGCTAAACATTTTCCAAAAGGGGGGCTATTATTACAACACAGTTTTTCCTAAATCCAAAAATCATTGTAAATACATTTAGTGTTAGCAAGTGTTGGTAATAACATTAAAAAGCGTTAAGATTTTAAAGTTCATACTATAAAATAAAATGGATTCTGAATGATTTGAATGAAATTATGGATTTACTCATGAGTCCACCT